CGGGTGGATCGTCTGTGCACTTCGCGGGGCCAGCGTAGGCGCAATGCAAATAACGCCGTTGCCGTCTCGAGTCGCATCCATAGTGCGGGCGACGTAACTACATGCCATTCACTGTACACGCCCACTGATCATCGTTGACTCTAGTCCGCTCCACGCGTCGCATTTCTTACTGAACAGCCGCTTCCGTCGCAGGTGATATCCGACCCAAGCCCCCAGCAGCCCTGCATCCCCGCCAAAGCCTTTGCACCACCGCCCGCCCGCGCATCTTGCACCCGTACCCCAGAAGCGATACCGCCGCCGCCCCCAACGCGACACCCGGGTCAGTACACATTGACTTGTGTGCCTGTAGACCAAGACTGGCCCTCTCGTCGTCATTCGCTGCGTGTAGTCTTACCGAGCCGAGACAAGTGCCCAGGCCTGGGAACAGGCGCTCGTACGCCTCAGGGAATGAGCAGGCCAAATGATCATGGTACGTCAAGTGACCCTCTGCCCCGAGTCGTGATGCCCACGACTGCCTCCAAGGCGTCTGCATCTGCCACCGGCGAGAGATGGCCAGCTTTGTAAGCTTCACCGCTCAACATGCACCACGGCTTGTATGCACTGCGAGAGAAACGACTAGATAATAGACATCCACCTTGCCTGCCACCTGAACCAGCTACTGCTCTTCTGCAGGGAAATGCTTGCTGACGCCCTCACCCCGCCAGGCTCTCTACCAGAAGAAGCACCCTTCGACTCGTTCGCACAGTCGCAGCACCTCTCCGAATATGCCCCGCTGGTCAAGACGAAAAGCACATCCAGCCTGCTGAGCTGGCGGACGGGGCCTCCGCCACCCATCGACACGGCCAAGCGCCTGAGCATCGATGCAGGGCAGCTGGACCGCATGGCAAGGTGAGTGCAACGTGCGAGAGGCTGGGCAGGCAGGAGCTTCCTCCGGTTCGTGGGTAACCGCTGACACATGCTCCAGGTCGCCCATTGTGTCTGAGCATGAACACGGCCTAGGGTCTTCAGGCCTGCGTCGCATTCGTCAACAGCCAGGCCCACGACAGCTGCAGACGACGCAACGAGCCGCTTCGTTGAATATCGCTACTCCTCCAGTATCGAGGCACCCCTCAGAGTCCACGCCCACAGCGCCCGCATCACCGACATTCGCCTTTGGCGAGGACCTCACTCGTTTCCCCTCGGAGTCTCTGCACTCGTTCTCGTTCGCGACCCAATCCGAAGAGTTTATACACAATCGCCAGAATGTATTGAAGCGCTCCATTGAGTTCATGCGAGACAGGCTGGGCTGGGCTGCGACCAATCCCGGCATAGCCAACGCTCAAGCTAAACTCAGCGGCGATCAAGAAGTGCAGAGCATGATGGAGCTTCTTACCCGGGCAAACCTCATAGGACAAGACGGCACAGGAGCCCATGGGCTGGGTGCTTTGGGCCCAGTGACAGGACCCGCCGACATGTCCGGCGAGAACCCATTCGAGAAGGGATTCACGGTCGATCGATCAGCCAGCCCAGAGAGCATGCTCGAAGCAGCGAGACCCCCAGTACACAGGGCGACTCCAATCGACGTAGCCGACAACAGCAGTACATCAGACTCTCGCGAGGGAAGAAGCTCATCGAGTACCGACTTGACCTCCGACGAGTCGAGCACACGCGTAGCGGCAGCCTCTCCACCTCCACCTTCCTCGCAGCCTGCGCGACCCCAACGAGCCGCGCTGAAACGTACCCTCACCGACGTCGCGCCTCTTACGATACAAAGTCAGCTCCACGATGCCTTGGCACAGCCATACCGAGTCGGAGACCAGGAGAAGATTGGAGACCTCGTTTCTCCCGCGAGCATACCAACTCTGCCACCGAGTTTCAGCAATGCACCAGGGCCTCACTCTGCGGGCTCAGCGCCGCATGGACACGGAAGCCGACACGCTCCAGCAGCACAGGCCATCTTTACGACCGAGACAGACACACCGTGGACCATCACATCCGCAAACGACTTGGCATGTTTGGTATTTGGAGTAACAAGAGCCGAGGTCCGCAAGCTGGGCATACTCGAGGTCGTTCGTGAGGACCGTAGGAAGTGGCTCGAGAGTAAGCTGAAGGATCCTGAAAGCGGCTCCAAGAACGCGCCGTCTGGAGTATCGGCTGCCGCAAACAATCTGAAGGTTGGCAGCGGTGTCACAGCGCGGTTACTGAGCAAGGCTCCATCACGAGTGACGGCCGCGAGGAAAGCGCAAACAGACGACGGGAGTGGATCGTCATACTACAACGCGAAGAAGACTGGCAAGCTGAACCATGAACACAAGGGCTCAAGGGGCGTCCTACTATGTGGAGACGTTATTCCGATACAGAAACGCAATGGCTCAACCGGATCTGCCAGCTTGTGGGTCAAAGAGAAGCGGGGCAGTCTCATATGGGTGCTTGAAGAGATCGCCGAAGACGTCGTGTACATCACGGTCGACGAAACAGGCTGCGTATCCAAGGGCTGGGGCGCAACGGAAGCTGTCTTCGGGAGCGATCGGTTACGGAGGGGCATGGATCTCAAGCGTCTCATACCAGGCATACCACGACTTCGAGGAACAAACACTGGAGTGCTAGACTACGACTCCATTGACGAGTTCCGCAGCTACACAGCTCGCACGTCGAACAGCATCAATATACCAGTGACTGTGGAAGCCTTGCCCGGCGAACCAACCTTCCGCATATCTAGCTTCCCTCACATCGCCGGCATCATTGTGTTGTCGTCCGACGACCTCAAAATTACGAGTTCCAATTCTGTTTTCTCCGCGGCTCTGTTTGGGCAGCCGCGACCTGAAGGTATCCATGTCAGCAAGCTCATACCCGCGTTCGACAAAATTCTGCACGTCATGACAGATGAGGACAAGATAGAGTTGGTTGACGGGATCGTCATTCCCGAACACAGCTTTCGTCGCGCACGAGCCCTGCTTGCAATGCGAGAAGGTAGTGCAGATGCTGCAGCTATCTTCCTGCGACCAAGTGGTCTGCCAGCCTTACATCGCGACGGCTCAGAAATAATGGTCGACGTGCAAATGCGAGTCGTGAAGAGCGAAAAGTCACCCCGGTTCGATGAGAACGTCATTGAAGAGGAAGATGGGTCACCAAAGCCAAACAAGGGTCCAGAGCTGGTCTACGCCTTGTGGATAACATACTCCAGGCAACTACATGCTGCGAACCACGGTATCGGCCCAGTGACTCCCCTCATGTCACGCCCACCCTCACCCCGCCAACCGGAGCCAGGCCAATCCAGTTTCTCCGTGCCACAAGAACCGGAATCACATCAATCGCAAGGAACGCCACCTGCAGTGTCACTCCTCACACAGCAGATTCAAGAAGCCATGCGGCCTAATACTCCGCAACAATCTCAGAAAGGAGCCATGGCACCGCCACCAGCACCTGCACAGGATGAGCCACCCCAGAAGAAGACTATCAACGATTTTGTAGTGTTGGAGGATATGGGCCAAGGCGCCTATGGGCAAGTCAAGCTTTGTCGGTACAAGAAGAACAGCAGCAAGAAGGTCGTGATCAAGTATGTTACGAAGCGACGCATCTTGGTTGACACGTGGACACGCGACCGAAGGCTTGGAACTGTGCCGCTCGAGATTCACGTCCTGGACTATCTCCGCCGCGACGGCTTCAAACACCCCAACATTGTAGAAATGGCCGATTTCTTCGAGGATGACATCAACTACTACATCGAGATGGTGCCTCACGGTCTACCGGGCATGGATCTCTTCGACTATATTGAGCTGCGTGTCAATATGGAAGAAAAAGAGTGCCGTAAGATCTTTGTTCAGGTCGCAGAGGCGGTACATCATCTGCACACTAAAGCAAAGGTCGTACATCGAGACATCAAAGATGAGAACGTCGTCCTCGACGGTGAAGGCAACATTAAGCTCATCGACTTTGGAAGCGCAGCGTACATCAAAAGCGGACCCTTTGACGTCTTTGTAGGCACAATTGGTATGTTTCCCGTTATTCTCGGATCCTTATGGCCATACTAACGCTCGTCAGACTACGCTGCCCCAGAAGTCTTGGCTGGAAAAGCCTACCGCGGTAAAGAACAAGACGTCTGGGCCCTTGGCATCCTCCTTTACACCATCATATACAAAGAAAACCCGTTCTATTCCATTGACGAGATCATGGATCATGATCTCCGCGTACCGTGGGTCATGTCGGAAGAGAGCATCGATCTTGTGCGACTGATGCTAGATCGAAATGTGGAGAAAAGGATTACCATCAGCATGGTGCTCGAGCATCCTTGGTGTAAGGGCGCTGGTGCTGGCAGTGGGGTGGGTGGAGAAACCGCCTGAGGACCAAGACGAATGGGAACGAATATATGGAACGACTTTACGATCTTTTGCATGTGGACGGACTAGGACTGGTTATGGGATGGATAAGGTCGGGCGCACTGCTATAGAGCGCTTCTCCTTCTACTTCAAGTTACACATTGTTCGCAAAATTGCGCTATAAGCGTTACGGCATTGTTTGGTAGGGCGGGAGATGGAAAAAATGAATACCCAAGATCCTTGTTTTCACATATTGTTGCTCAGACAGCGTTTGTTCTGTCTGGAACACAGTGACGCGATGGCCCCGGCGCCAATTTGTGGGAGGCTGGTTCCTTCCCCGTGATGACGTCTGGTATCGGTGACGGGCAACTCCTGATCACGACCTCCAACGAGTCTCAATCGTAACCTTGAACAGTTCTCGCGCAAAACGAAGCTCCATGGCCCATCACACCCGTCACAAGTAGTACATACAGCCTGTCTGCATAATTTCCAATGCGTCCCGCCGATCCGTGTGTCAGCGCCACGCTCAGTATAGCGTGGCAAGCCAACAGTACAACCTTCCATGTACTCAGCCCCAGAGGCTGAGGTACCTAGCCTCCCTGTCCCGACACAGACAGGTCTTGAGCCAATAGCAATGTAGCGCCACAGTCGTGCCACACGTCAGGCGTCCAGCTCAAGCCACGAACACCCTGTATCTCAGAATAGATCGGGTGGTTGTCCTCGCGCGTCGTCGCGAACGTCTCTGGTTATTTGTACTCACGGTCCAGTCTCCACTTACCATCAACGGTACTGCGACAGATACTTGGCGTCTATACGTTGGTTCGACACACCCTAACGATAGCGTAGCGCTTCAACACGATGTTATCCCCGGCACCTAAAAGTAAGGCCGCTAGTATATGGTCTTTTGATTCGGGGTACGGCTCGGGCACCTTGGAAGATGATGAGTGTTTCCAGGTACGATCTCACTTACGCAATGCTGGGTGTTGCGCAATTATTAACGCTGAGCAGATCGACCAGCCTGGAAGCTCCACGATCTATGGAACGTTATCTACGTCACTCCATCAACACAATCAGTCAAATCTTGGCGGATCTGTGGGCCTTGAATTGGGAGATGAAATTCGCGCTAGAGCAATCACAAACTCGACTGAGCCTCAGGCTACGGAAGTCGACGTGTTCACGGCGAAAGTTCGCACTAGCAACGAATCATTGGTGCCGGCGCAGAGTAATGGTATCGATTGCCTCCGATGTCAGCTCTGGAATATCATCAACCCCGACGGGAACCTTACATGCGACGACTGCACAACTGAAGGGTCCGAGACACTTGAAGCTGTCATAGGTACTACTGGACCACCAAAGACGACGAACGCGGCACATCGCCAAGATCATCTAAAAGCAACCCCATCGAAGGAAATCCCCCGATCTGGGAACACCACGCGATGCTCTGCATGTGAGATCTCAGCACTTGTTCATCCAGGCCAGTCCATCAACTGTGCTTCATGCACTCCAAACACGAGCTTGCTGTTTCCAACTCCATCAGACCAGTCATCAAAGGTCAAACGTTCTTGTGCCCGACGGCCACCCACCAAGCTCGAGTCGCATGCTACGCGATGCCTGCAAGAATGGCTAAGAGAACATCGACACAATCCCTATCCGGACACCGAGACCAAGCGTTCACTAGCCGAAAGATGTGGTATCACTGAGAAGCAGGTTAACACCTGGTTTACTAATGCGCGAGCGCGAAGAAGGGTCGTTGATGCGAGATCATCTAACCCTGCCTCGGAAGATGAAGGAGCCCGGAATACTCGACTTTCTAGCGTAATATCCACGGCGCTGTCGCACCGAGACGCCTCATCAGGCTTCGAAGCACCATCCGATCGTCGGTATTCTGTCGCGTCTTATTGCGCAGGTGACGATTCCAGTCACGCAAACACAACCATATCTAGACGAGGCAAGAAGAAGGATTATGGCCAGTCTAGTAATGTGCTTACTCCACTCTCTAAAACGCAATCAGTTCTGGTCAAATCGCAACTCCCATCTGCACACGATGTCGATGGCGAGCCACAGACTTGGCAATGCACCTTTTGCCATCAACACATTGCACGTAAATCTTGGCGCCGCCATGAGGAGACCCAGCATCGACCGAAACGAAAGTGGACATGCTTGCTCACTGGCCCTAGCCTTGCTATTTCTTCTCGGTCAGACGCGTCTGCATGCTGTGTTTTCTGCATGATACCAAACCCCAGCGACAAGCACTTCGCCGAATGCCACCGCATAGCTGAGTGTTTGGCCAAGGATGAAGGCGAAAGAACATTCTTGCGACCAGATCATTTACGTCAGCATGTCAGGAACTTCCACAAAGCGAAATTGGATGAGACCGTCCGCGACCTTTGGAGAAGAGAAGGACCAGGTAGCCATGCCATGGAGAACTGGGTTTGCGGGTTCTGCGCAAAGGTGCTGAAGACGTGGGATGATCGCGAGACGCACGTCGCGAGCCATTTCAAGGATGGCCTGATGATGGCGGACTGGAAAGGGTATACAAGACCGGATGCTGAGGCGAGTAAGAAGAGGCCGACTTCGAGCGAAGGACGTCCGAATGTGCTCTCGAAGTTGGCACGGACGCTTACTTTCCGATCATCGCGTGAGCAGCACCACTACGAGTCGCAAACTCAGGGGGCCGATGCTTTCGATACTGCGTTTATGTCCATTCACGCGCCTGAGGCAGAGGCACCTCTGTTGCCGGAGCTCGTCTTCGATGACTTCATGACCGGGGTGGGTGACGGGTATTATGATATCAACGATGCGATTCTAACAGGCACATACGAACAAGGCCTCGCTTCTGATGAACGGCACGATTCCGCGTTTCCGGATGGAGATCAAGCGGGCTTTGACTTTGGTAGCCTGGCGGAAGGGTTTGTTGATCAGGAGGCTGAGGTTGTAGATGCGTTTGGACTTTGGTACCAGTAGTCACAAGGATACTTCGTATACGTTTCTCCAGAGCTGTAAGAATCTTGGCTTACTCAAAGTACTTGGCTTATATCCATGATCTGGCTAGAACGGGTGCGTCGAACTTAACATTCATTGCATGTTATGACGTCATGTTCCTCATAGCAAGATAGGTATGTTTGGTTTAGGGTAATGAGTCATACCAAGGCTGATTGATCTCACAGAACATCGGTGTGAAGCTCTAGTGTAGGGCGGCGACCGCTACTGCTTCTGCCCTACAACTTTGTTCATCATCATTACATACCTTGCTCGCGGCATATGTTCTGTGACTGTTGACAAATGGTTCATTGTCCCAAACATTCGGAGGCGAAGTGTCGTGACGACCGGCTTGTACCATACTCGCGCATGATTCAATAGATCGCCTAAGGGTAACGTTCCGCAATCCTGTTGTTGTGACACATGGTTCTCGATATCTTGCCTACGTGATCTGAAGAAGAGTCATCAACTTCGAACACATCGCAAGACCTAGTCGATTCGCATAAAGTACCTAGGTAAGGTCGCTCGTTCATTACACTTCAGAAATCTATCGCTATGGATTCTGCACCCGTTGCTAGGCCTTCTAATAACTTTGCGCACTGGAACATGTTCCCCTTCATGACAAAACCAAAGACGAAGTACTTTCTCGGACAAACACAGTCGCCATTCTCTCGGCTTCCACGAGAGATACAAGATACCGTCTACGAGTACTGTGCCCAGCGTCGGCCACAGTGTGTGTACGATAAGATATCATTGCAGGGCTGATTCATTTACCAGTATTCGAAATGTTCCAGACGCAGAGGCAATACATGCTGGTTTGCATTGCTGAGCTATTCGAGGAGTCAAACTTTGCTAATGCTAGGGCACGGTTCCCAGCGATAGAAGATTCCTTTGGGAGGCCTCTGCAAGAGGCAGTTGCGCAGAATCTGGAAAAGCTTTCGGGCAATATGGACATAAGCCCAGACGATCACACTAGCCAAGACTTCATTGACGCCCTAGTCTTCATACTGGACATTGCGAAGAATCGAAATCCGACAAAATTGGTACAGCTCACACAACCATTGTTTGGGAACAACACGTGTTATATTGAAAATCTCCATGGTAGCCATGGTAGCGTCCAAAACAATATCTTTGTCGAAGGGTCATTGCACGATATATCCTCGTGGAGGCCGGACGCATGGTAAGGACTTCGGGGTATGAATCACATGTCTGACACATACTGATTCAATGCACCGATAATTCAGGTTAATACCCACAGACGATGATCTTTCTAGAATGGAAAAACTTGTCTGTGAACCAAAAGAACATGGAACACTGCTCTACGAATGGTGCCATGTGACGAATCCTATCCGACTGAGCAACAACAAATATAACTTCTCTGCAGTAGCGGTAGCGATTGACTTTCGTAAGTCCACCCTTCATAATCAAACGGTTATATTTGTTGACATCCGCGCAATGAGTCACATTCCCCAGAAACGCTTATACAATCTGCGCAAGCTCATTCTCTACGAAGACTTCAAGTCCGGGCCCCGATCTGTATGACACGCAAGAAGCCTCATCCCTATATGAAAAGCAAACCTGGGCCTTCGGATTGAGAGACGTGTCGATCTGTTGACCAGTCTTTTACCTGCAAGCCATCCTACTGGCAATCTGGTCGGGATTGGCAGTATGGGTGGCCATATGATCATGGAAGCCGATGTTCCATGGTTCACTGAGATCCTACTATTCCGTACTCATGGCATGCACAAAGGCTCCTTCCAGCTCGTCATCGATGGTACGTCGCGAGAATCTCTTGAGGTCTGGAACATTATCAAGCACGCTGCAGCCATGCAAGGAGCCATGCTAGAACAATGCCGTGTTCGCAACACCTATCCAACGTCTAGGCTATATGATAGCATAGCTGGTCGCATCTATGGCCCCAGGGCTTTACCGTGGCATCTTCCAGACGGCTTCTCCGACACCATCCGCCGCACAATCAAGGGCACGACCAACATACCATTCACCGGAGATGTGGGCGGACTATGGAATGAAGAAGTTTTCTACTTCCAACGAAGAGACTGGACCCTAGATCAGTGGCGTCATGAGTGGTATAATGAGATTATCATCAAAAGCATCGATACGGATTTCTGGAAGCGATCTAACGCTTGGTATCAGGTAAATCCTCGAGGCTTCGGTCATGTTTACCGCACAGTCTACAAGGGCGAGATCATTCGCAGCAGTGACCGACCGTTGTAAGGGTACTCGCAGACCTGCTTGTGGATTGCGAGAGCAGTTCGATGTAAGTCGCACGGGCAACTGCGAGGACGACTACACACTTCGGACAGGAAGTCAATTAATTCAACTTAATCCATGCGAATTTCTCTTCAACGACCTCCATGTGCATATGATACTCGACATGCTTTGTCATTCCAAGGGCGGCCCGCCTCGCTTGCAGCGCAATGCGCGAGCGTCTAGCCAGGAACCAAAGATCTGCCCCTCCAAAAACATCACCAATTCTCTGCCACACCGTCGCATCACCCACGTCTCTTACGCCCACTACAGTCGCTCCTTCCTCCTCGAACCTACACCCAATGACCGCACCCACGCACCTCGACCCCAGCGAACTGGGCACCAAATCCTACTGGGACGCCGCCTACAACACCGAACGCCAAAACTTTGCCGCAAACGCCGACGACGAAGGAACAATATGGTTCAGCGACGCGGGCGCCGAGGAGCGCATGCTATCTTTCCTTGAAGACCTCAGCGACGAGGGCCACATACACAAAGGGCAAGATGGGAATGATAACAAAGCGGCGCGGTTCCTAGACCTGGGAACAGGGAATGGGCACTTGCTGTTTGCGCTGCGAGAGGACGAGTGGAACGGCGAGATGGTCGGCGTCGATTACTCTGCGCAGAGTGTCACGCTTGCCACGTCGATTCGTGACGCGAAGGATGACTCGTATGCGGATATAACGTTCCATGAGTGGGACATCTTGTCGCAGCCGCCGGGCGCGTGGCTAGGCTCTGGCTTCGATGTTGTACTGGATAAGGGCACATTTGACGCCATCTGCTTATCGCAAGAAGAGGACGCGCAAGGTCGTAGGATCTGCGAGGGATACAGGGAAAAGGTCGAGCCCCTCATGAAGAAGGGTGGCAGATTCCTCATCACGAGCTGCAATTGGACAGAAGAAGAGCTCAAGGGCTGGTTTAGAGGCGGAGAGCTGGAGTTTGAGGGTAAAGTCAAGTATCCCAGCTTCACGTTTGGAGGCAAGACGGGCAGCAGTGTCGTTACGCTGTGCTTCAAGAGGGTGTGATTCAGCGCTTCGTCTGCTGAGAGGAAGGACTACTACGACTACTGCTACCGGACAGCCCGCCGTATGCGCGCGAGAACAAGCCACTTCTTCCGCTCGCCCATGTTCTCCGTACCGCCATCGCGCTCTTTCGCCCATGACCGCCGCTGCCCGTTGACGTCCATCTCGTATATCTCCTCGATCTCGAGCCCTTGCTCCGGTATCACTTCCTCAAAGAAAGGTGCGACTTTGGCGCGTCCCGTGTGGAAACCTGCGATACAATATATGCGTGCGGATGGGTCGTCGGATAGGAAGTGCAGCATCGATTTGGCGAGGCTCTCGTGCTCCCATGGCATCCAGAGACAATCTGCAGCGAGAATCCGCGTGTAGCGATTCGCGTGCGAGGTCTCGAAGGGTGTGCTTATGGAGCCCCATTGATGACCTTCGACGGTCACGTTGGGCCTGAGATGCGCTGGGACGTTTTTTGCGACGTTCGTTCTGAGGGTATCGAGGATAGGAGCGGCAGGATAGTCGGTGATAGCAACCTAGCGGATTGTCAGTTGAAGCCTATGCACACTCCGAGTCTGAGCATGGACGTACCTCTTTCGCGCCTGCCAATGTACCAAGAATCCCGCCCAATCCTACGCCTGCGAGCAAATGTTCCATCAGTACTCTCTTCTACACCTCTCTTTACTCAGCCCGACCCACCTGCGCCCAGCTCCAACACCGTCTCGTCCTCCACGCTCCACTTCTTCTCTTCTTCTTTACTCGTCCACCATTCGCCATCTCTCCAGCCCTCTTCATCTTCGTGTAGACCCTTCCCACTGGCACCTAGATCGCCGCCCTCCACTCGCCCGCTGACCAGTTCTGCCATCATGACGCCGGCATTCCATAGGTAGTGCGCAAACTTTCTTCTTTGTTCTTCGCCGTTCACATCCGCGACCCTGATCTCCAATTCTCCGAACTTGGCGTTGCGGTACAGAATGACCGTGCTCGGGTCGTCGCCATGCTGGTTCTGTGTATCATCGGTGAAGATGCCGCCGAGGGAGGACCCAAAGATGTCTTCAGGCTCGAGGGGCGTGTTGGCTGGGCGGCGGAGGTTGATCAGCGAAGGAAGTAGCATTGTCAAGGTCGATGTACGGAGGTCTGGTCGGGCGCAGGCTAGGGTCCTTCCTTAGACGGGCTGAAGGATTGTCGCACGACGCCATGATGCGCAATGGAGGGGCTCGCGAAATCTTTAGCGGGGCACATACCCTATGCTGTAGATAGGATAGCGCACGGGTAGCATGCAGGGTCACGGCATGGTCCGACATGTCGTGAGATCATCATTTGCCGAGGCTGCTGCTCGTGGCGCTCTGAAACGCTGACTTTCCTGCTCACTCCTACTCTCATTCTCATTGACAGCGTGGTTGACTGACAAGACAATACCGCCAACATGTCATTATCTTCATTCAAGAACCCAGCGACATACCATCTACTCAGGTACGAAGCTACTGTACCAGCCCTCAACCCTCAAGATCCTCTAACACAACCATAGCTATGGCACCCTCCTGGGCTCAACGCTCTTCCAGTCCTTCGTCTCAGGCATCGTAGCCTTCCGCGTCCTTCCTCGTCCTCAATTCTCCACGCTCCAAAAGCACACCTTCCCAGTCTACTTCACATTACAAACCCTCACTCCCGTCGTAATGCTGCTTACTTACCCGCGCGGCGGAGCGTCATCCTTGCTACCATTCCTCTCTTCCTCGCCTATCCCACCGACAGCAACCGATAACCTGAGTTCCTGGTTGCACACCACCATGTTTCTTACGGCGTTGGTCAACTGGGTCTACGTTGGACCCAAGACAACGGAAGTCATGGGTCTGAGGAAACACCAGGAGACGAGGGATGGGAAGAAGAGCTACGATGCTGGGCCACATAGTAAGGAGATGCAGGCTCTGAACAAGCAGTTCGGCATTCTGCACGGAGTCAGCAGTCTGGTCAACATGGTGGGACTGGGAGCTATGATCTGGTACGGTGCAGTGCTAGCTGATGGGCTGAGCTTGTAAGGCCTTGACTATACATACTGGACGAACTGGTCTTGAACGAGACAACGATGTAAATAAGAAGCATGTTTGTTGGTCTAGCAACGCGGCTACGCTATCGCGGCAAGCGTGTGCTACATATACGTGAAGAGGAGGATGGTGAAGAAACCGAGGAAATACTAGCATGCTAGCTACCCCGACCCTCAGGCCTACGATGGTGCAATCGTAGCATTCAATAATGAGCACATGGCGCGTCTGTTTCATCATACCACAAACGCCAATGTTTTGACAACAGCAGCTAAATACTCACCCTCTCTCTGTACGACCCCATGTCCTTACTTTACAGCCGTCTATTTTCGTCGCTGCGTCATGGCGATCACGCTGCTAGAAATGGGCTCAATTAAACCCTCAAACTTCAACACCGACGTATATCCGCAAGCTCGCAAAGATGCAACAAACGATGGCCGAGCAGCAGTACAATACCGACAACTCATCTCCCGAGCTGTAACACAGCGTCTGCACTCGCCGTCTCTCGACGACCTCACGAAGACAAACTTGGGCGATGTACCCGTACATTCCCTAGAAGAATGGGAGCTTCAAGAACGCTGCATCGCGCGGAACAAAGCCCGAACTGAGGCCGAAGAGCTGGGTATCCCATGGAGTAAGACCGCCCGTCTTCTTGCATGCGATGGCCCTGCCCACATCGAATATTACACAAAAACACAAGGTCTGACAGCTAATAGCGCAATTTATCCGCGATGTCGAAAACGCCGTTCTGCAAGTCCATGTCCTCACGCCCACTCGTTACGAAGTACCGCCGAGGGATATAAATAAGAACCAAGAGGCGACCAAACAGAACGAGGGACTGCAGTACAAGTTTGGCGACTCCAAAGATGCAGAGCGTGATAGAGAGTGGAGGGTCAAAGATGCTGCTGTCTACAACATGTTAAGAGCTTTTCGGGGTGCGCGTTTGGGCCGATGAGTACGTCCGCCTGGCTTCGCTTCATCAATGTGTTGTTGTACAGAGTGGGAACGCGACACTGTCTTTCGCCTACCGTGATGGCACTATAATGTCGTTAGCAAAGATTCGCGTTGCTGGTTTTCGTCAAGATGCGCGGTGTGTCCGTTCGCCAAGTGGAGGTGCATGGTGGTCGGCCATCATGGTTCGCGGGTAGTCGGTATGTTATATTAAACTTATATGGTCAACACGATCCGAACACTGCTGTTTGATCTTTCAACTTTACTTGCCTTAGTCGAAAGTCTTCCTAAACATGGTGTATCCAGCGGCGAAGATGATGAGGTCACTAACCATTACATTAGCCTCTACAGGGCTGGTGCTCAGCAACCCCATTTCGGGTCCCAGAACATCGCCAGAGACTAGGGCAGTCGGTCGCGCTAAACCATTGCTACAGGATTTCGACGCTCTTGGAGCATGGTTTGATGGTGTCGCGGCGATCAACACAACCACCTCTGTCTCCTCTTCCAGGAAGAACGCTACTATCGCGATTGTCGGTGCCGGCATCTCTGGTCTCGCTACAGCACTGATGCTTGACAGCGTTGGTGTGCACAACTGGGAGATCATCGAGGCAAGCGATCGTGTCGGGGGACGGTTCCGAACCAAGTACGTTGGTGGAACGCAAGAGTGGGCGGAGATGGGTCCTATGCGTCTTCCTCACTCGATTACATACAAGGACGGTGAGACCATTGAATACAGCGACCATCAAATGGTCTTCCAGTTGGCCAAGATGCTGAACGAGATGAATGCGAACGATCCGCAATTCAAAGTCGACTTCATTCCATGGGTTCAACATCACCCGAACGAGATCCTCGGCCTAGGAACTGGCAGACTTCCAAATGGACAACTTCCAACGCGAGCGGAGATTCAAGCAAACTCGTCTCTTGGGCGACCAGCACCACTGGACACGCAGGAGTATACCGAAACAAAGCAGCGCATGAACGAGCTTCTGAAGTCGAAGGACAGACTCAAGGCCGTACAACGCGATGTATGGCGCGAACACAAGAAGGCCATGGACCAAGGTCTCGACGATTGGAGCGAGCAGGCCATGATGCGCCACGTCTTTGGTGCAAGCGAGAACGTCACAGACGCTATCTGGACAGCGAGCGACTACGACGTCTTCTGGGATGAGTTGGTGCATAACTCGAATCTTGCGCAGGACGGTGGACCGGATGCACTTGGCATGACTGAATGGAAGTGTGTAGACGGGGGCTTTAACAGACTGTCCAATGCGTTCCTTCCCCATGTCAGCGGCCGTCTCACCCTCAATCGTAAGGTCAGAAAACTGGAGGCTGTCGAAGACGGCGAAGGTCACACACATACGAGACTGTCGTGGTATCCCAGTGTCAGCAACCGAACATACGAGTCGAAAGAATACGACTATACGATCATGGCAGTGCCATTTACCATGACACGCTTCATGTCGCTTCCAAAATTCTCCTCCGTGCTCGGTCGCGCGATCAGCGAAGCTGGCCTCCGTTTTAAATCCGCCTGCAAAGTCGCGCTCCTCTTCAAAGAACGCTTTTGGGAAAAGGGCGACCGTCCCATCTTCGGCGGGTACTCCACGCCACCCAGTGTAGCCGTCGGCGCTCTATACTATCCTGTCTACGGCCTCAACGAATCTCGCCCAGGCTTGATCATGCATTACCGGGGTGGCCACTGGAGCGACGAGTTCATGACCTTCTCAGACGAGGAATACGTTCAGACTGTGTTGGATGCTGTTGTCAGCGTGCATGGCGAGCAAGCAAGAGAGCTGTATACTGGCGACTACGAGAAGCTGTGTTGGCTGCAAGATGAACATACGGGAACTGCTTGGTGCCGTCCGGATGTGATGCAGCATAAGTTATATATTCCGGCATACCACCAGACGGAGCACAATACCATCTTCATTGGGGAGCATACGGCCCCGACGCATGCTTGGGTCAGTTCGTCGCTGCATTCGGCTGTTAGGGGTTCTGTGCAGTTACTGCTTGAGTTGGGTATGGTGGACGAGGCGAAGCGAGTCAATGAGGAGTGGATGGGCAGGTGGATTCAGCATACAATCACGTAGGAAGTCAAGAATTTGAGCATCAATTTATATGGAGTGCAATATAGGTCACATGTAGCAAATTAGTGGTGGATGTAGATACACATAGGGGGAAATGAGGGATACAACATCAAAGCTATCGCAATTATACCGTATACCAAAGTACAATTTCAATGTCCCAGCCCGACCAAGACCAGACCGCAGTCTGAGTTAAAGGCGCATTCTGTTCATTCTAAAGTGAGGGATACATGAGAGAAAGAACTACTGGAGAGCTGCCAAGCACGTGCCCTATCTAAGCTCTCTTCTGCGATACCAGCTCTCTAAATAGTTAGCCAATAGCTAGCTGTATCTGGATCTAGAGTGATTCAACAGTAAGGCATGTCTCCGCACAAGTTGTCCTTCCCAAACCTTCTGTCTCTAATTACCGCACTATAATTCTTCATCGCAAGTCGGAAATCCTGCTCCGCTTTCTCTACTTTTTTACCCATCCTAGCTAGCATGGTTGTGTTGTCGAACATGTGCGATATCGTTTCCTCGCTGTTGAGAAATATAGGCCGGTTGGAACCTACAAATAAACTAATTTGGCCAATAGCAGCTTCAACTTGTGGCATGAAGGGCATGATGTCGGTGGCACCTTTCGCACTTGGCAATGGCGAGTAGAAGGCAAGTGGGTGAAAAGGAAGAGTACCAGTTGAGGCGGCGAGAGCGTTTGTGTTAAGCGTGCCGTGAACTACTGATACCAGGTGGGCCACATGGGTCAGGATGTCGATGAGAGTTCGCTTGTCCTTAAGAGAAGATAGAAAGTATAGTTTAGCGGCGTAGAGGTTTGGCTAGGATAGGCACGGGCTGTGCTAAGGACAGGTCTAAAGGCTAGAAGACTTAGGAATGCATTTACAAGTAAGAAGTGTATACTAGGCTGTAACTATAGTCTGCTAGTCATGCGATAGCGAATAAAGAGATAGATACAGGCTAGTTGTACGTATATACATGCATTAGGTTTAATAACAGAGTAGGAAGTTGCGTATATAGATAGATAAGATAGAATAGAGTAGACAAGAGTTTATATAAAACAACTATTATGTATACCTAGTAATGCGCGCTCTTGCACAGCGTAGAGAAGACCTTACTACAGAGAAAGGCTATGTTACCGTAGGCTGTTCTATAGCAAAGGCACGGAAGGCCTAGCGCTACACTTGCCTAGAACAGACTAGCTAATCTAGCAGCGCACAACGCATGTCCAAAAATAAAATAGTACTTAGACGAGTAACTCTAAAAGCGTAGCATATACGAGCTAGGTGTATTGCTATATTATGCTATACAATACTATAGTATTTGCTTCCCCTACAACTCTAAAAGTCTTTTGCGTCTTTGTTCTTGTACCTATATCTACAACTATAACTACTACTCTATTCCTACATCTATTCTACGTCTACAAACAAATCATGTCTCGCGTTGTCCCCCAAGGTCCGTGGATTACCAAACTAGATTGGGATCTATACGCAACACACGATGGCGAGATCCACGTTCCCTTTCGTCACCATGTTCAACCAAGAGACATGCACCAACCAACTAAGAACTTCCGACGGTTTTTGCAGCTACCTACAGAGCTGCAGATAGCTATCTTTAGTCACTGCGATAGTGCGGTGCTGTTCCAGCTTATGCACGTATCGTCCAGGACGCGCAAAGAGGCAAAGAAGTTGTTTTGGTCCTGCCCTGACGCATGGTTTCAGATCGATGGGAGGTGGTTGCTGGCGGGTGGATTCTCTGGCCACACCTACAACGATCTAGATTTTCTAGCCTGCGCAAGGCAGATTGAAGTAGATTTTAACGGGTGCGGGCCTCTCACCCATAACGCATGGGAGGATGGCATACAACAGTATGCCAAACGCCCTCCAGATCATATCCGGGACCAGCAAATATACAGGTTCTGGCAGACACTGCAATGGCGATTTCCCTGCGCAACCGACGTTGTCTTGAGTGGGCTTAGTGGGGAGGATGCAGGCGTAGCCCCGCCCGCGGATTATATGACAGTAGCAGAGAAATGCCCCTCTCGCATTCGCGCGTCTGTCTCTTGTCGTCAACGGGTGGCCGGACACCCTTCCCGAGCAACTAGGACTTTATGGCGCCTGTCTTATCCTAGCTATGGTCAATCACAAGCCTGGGAGGTAGCCACTCTGTATTGGACAAGACAATGCGTGCTTCCACCGCCCAAAACGTTTCGTGGTCCTGTAGGGGCATTCTGCCGCATCCAGTACCACAGTAGCCACTACTTTTACAGGCACTTTGCCATTAGAGCACTCTCTATCCAGGCTATCAAGGCATATTATCTACAAGACAGTCAGAAGCCGTGTGTCTGTCCTATATCGGGATGCGGTCTACAGTTTGAGCTGCCAGGCCAGTGGGCTGCTCATGCGATTGATACCGGGCACTATAACAACATTACCTTTCCTAGTAGGCAGCTTCAGACGTCGTTCAAGGATCACTCGGCTAGGATAGAGAGCCTAGAGCAAAAGTATGCAGACGCAATGGCAGAGCTGCAGATAGCGTGGGGCAAGGAAGGCAGCAATCAGCGTGCTAATGCGGAACAAGCATTCCTCTCTCAACTACAGCACGATCCGCTGTATATGCACGAGAAACCCCCAGAAGAGAGTTTCATGTGGCTAGACTATAAGGAAAAGATGAACAAACATGCTGAGCTAGAACTAGAGTCATAGATAGTACAGCATAGACATGATCCTGTTTACTACGAATTTGTGCTTATATTAGGTACTACTATTCTACAAAAACTTCTATCGTATACGTACGCTACTTAGCCAAAATCTATGTAATTCGGTTGCGGCAGCGATACTTACACTACCTTGTTATCTACAATATGTACGCCCCGTCCTTGTAATCTACTATATGAGGTAGTGCTGTGTTACTACCAACGCTATGCGTATTATAATGGTGTGCCCGTTGTTCACTATGGCTCTTCTCACGGGCGACCCGCCATTCAAAGCTGCTGTTACAGCGCGTGCAGTCCAGCTGACGCTCATGCCCATCGCAGAGCCAACGACTACCAGTGATCCTTGGTACTGCGCGACCGAAAACATTGCGCAATATTTCGAAGTGCCGAAGCCCACTGAAGCCCTTCTGGATGAGCTTCTTATCTATGGAGACAAGCTAATCGAGGACTGCACACTCATTATCACGCCTTCGGCCACGGCTGTCCCGACGTGTCCCTTTTTCGAATGGACCATTTGATGCGGGTTCATGACCGCTGCGCCTCCAGAAGTTCTTCCGGCCTACTCTTCTTACGGCAGCGTAGCATCTTCTTGGTGGGCTGCGCATAGCTCGCGAGCCGTCGAAGTCGTTGAAAGCTGCCCCAATACTTGGATCAAGGAGATGCGCGATGCCCTATACTGCGAAGTCTGATTGAAAAACACTATTGCATTTGCCGGATGCTATGCGGAAGAGCATGACCTCGACGAATCTTCGACAGCCGCGATATCAAAAGATGGCTCTGCACAAACGACATCTACCTCGTCTACTGCTGTTCCTACCCAAGCTCTGGCAATGACCAAGTCTGTGTTACCGAACAGTGCAATTGATCGAGTGGAGAGCGTCAAAGTGATGGTAGTTGCGGGCGTGGGGATAGCTGCAGATGCCATTGATTGTGTGTTGTAATTAGGCTGTTAGTATGGGGTTCATTGAGCGACAGCTCTTCTCTATGTATATGAGTATGTGATCCAACATTCTAGGAGGACGAGCATGTAAGGGGTAGTTGTAGGCAATAGTACTTGCTTCACACTACAAGAGAATAGTAGGGGACAGCTCTATATTCCTACGTTAATAAAGGTAGTTGTATGTAGGAGAAAGAGAATAATTCTTGTCCTTTCCTTTGCGGGCGGAACGCAGGTTAAGAGCAAGTTTCTAGGCTAAGACCTAAGCGAGAGAAGTAAGCATATTATGTGACTGTTCTCTTCACTCCGCCTTCGCCATCTTATGTTACAGAGCAGTACTCTGTGTTCCTACTAGGGCGCAGTGCTAGATAGATTGTGTACCTCCGTCAGGAAGCATGAGCAAGCCAGTTATCCAACTTGCTCCAGTCTATAAACTCTAGCGATGTATCGTCCATAATGTAGTCGGTAGCCATAAAACTGTTGGCGCCGTCCAAACCCATGTCGTCGAAAGCTGGGCCCTCAGCGTCGTTGAAGAAGGTGAAAGGATTGTTGCTGTCGAACATTGTGTCTTGCATAGATCCAAACGATGCCTGGAAAGAATTGTGCGTTGAATCCACCAACCCATTGAGCTTATCAGGTATGGCACCGCCGTCGAGTCGGTGAATATCAGCTTCGGCTTGTTTAGTAGATGCACCCGCATGACCGCTACCTGCAGTACGTTTCTGGCGTCTCAACCTCGCACTATCGCGTTGGTCACGAAGACGTGTTATGAATCCAGGTGGCGAACATAAACGACCATTTTTCGAGCGAATCAGTGCCTCATTATCGTCATAGGCCTTCAAGCAGAGGTTGCCAACAGCTGCATGAATTGGCTTTCTCATATCCTCGAGCATGTCGGGATTGTTATCGTAAGTTTCGCTGATGAGTCGCCAAGCTCGATCGGTATCGATCAGGTTGGGATGAGCGCGAAGGGTATCTAGCAAATGAATCAGAGCATGCCACTGCCGAAAGTAGGACGCGCTCCACGCAAAGCGCTTGATGACAGGGTTGGTCTGCATCATGATTTGCTGCTCGAGAAGCTTGAGACAAACTCCCCAGATCTTCTTTCGCTCCTCTAGAGGTGTTTTCTCGAATGTGCCCCAGTTCCGTGGATGATGTATCAGAAAGCGAGCTACATTGAGACCATACCGGGCCACCACCATTGCAACAAGATGCAAGGGCTGAGACGGGTCACAGTAGCGAAGATGTTTCGTTTCGATAGTATCCTCAAGCTCTTGGATCAAGCTTTCACGTGCGGTCTTGCTCTTTGCCGAATGGTCAAGGTTCATCTGCCTGGGGTCCATTCCTTCTTGCCGCAATGCTGCAATGCGTGGCGCGGCGAACTTTCCCATCTCACATCTAATTACAATGAAGACAACATCTGTCATTCCATTGAATTCTGAGGGCAGCTCAGACATGCCAGGATACAGCTGATCGTCGTTGACGTTGGTAGGCCATTCAGCTCGTTCAGGGCCGATGTCAGGATCTCGGTACTTTGCGAGACCACACAACTCCGCGGCTCGGGAGTCATGAGCTTTCAGCTGGAACCATATACGTCGGCGTATTTCGGTTTCGAAGGGAGACAGTCCGAGATATTGACCGTCGCGCTCGAGACCCATGCTTTGAGCGATGCGAACAGCTACGCCGGTAAGCGTCCAGGTCGCGCGTGGCGCATAGATCTCGCGGATTGTGATCAGATGTATCACCAAAGCCTGAAGAACGACGAGGTTGGAAGTATCCATTACTCTCGCCCTAGACAATGCCGCTTCTGTCGCTGAGATGTACTGAGAAAGCATATGGTCGCGCGACTTGGCGAAACGTTGCTCACACTCCTCTTGACTCAATGACATGATAGCGGAGCCATATATAGCAAACATGAGAGCTTCGAGCGTTCGCGGTATGAATCCAAGGTTTTTGGCAGCTTTTTCAATCATAGGGCGTAGACTAGGCACATGTACCACCTTAGTCAACGGATCCACGTTACTGACAAAAATCTCCCAAAGCTGATACAGGCGCTCGAGTGGTGGATGACGAGGCTTGCCGCTGCAATGGGCGGATCTGACAAGAGCAAAACCGGAGTTATCGATGATCGACTCCTCCTCGCTGACATCGCTTGAGTCTTCTAAATCATTGTCGGGGTCGAGAGACTAAACATTCGTTAGCATAGGCGCGATTATGAGATTGCCGAACAACAAATGGCATGGGCCTTCTGCTCACTTCTTCAACCACTCTATTCCAAAGACTGTTTTCCACAAACCTGAAAGGTGCCTGGCCACGAACGGTTGAGGTCTGGAGGTCATACGGAGACGAGTCAGACTCAAGAGACGAAGGCGTCTGCAATTGAACGACATGCTGCTCTTGTTGATCGGGCAGACTGTGCATGAGAGGTTGCGACTGCGGCCTGCTATCCGTTTGGTCTGGAAGGTTTCCAGGGTTGATGCCCTTTTCCTGAAGGAGAGCCTCATACTGTCTCAACCGATCAGTCAGTACCTTGACCTTGACGCGCTTGTTTCTCTGTTTCGGCGGTTGCATCGGGTTAAAGATGCATTCGACGTTACTCTTGACACAGCCAGCACATGGCCTCTGTCTGTCACACTTGACTTTTCGTTCAGCGCATCGGATGCAGGAGAAAGTGGGTCTTCTATGAGCGCTCGTAGATGGGGCTGTAGTTGCCATTATGGCACTCAGCTGCGCTAAGTAAAATTAACGGCAGTTGTCGTTATCGTCTCGTTTAAGGCCATTGAGGTAAGCACAAGATGCGAAAGAAGATGACAGGAGTTTAACAAGTGGCGATGCGGGATGATGGTAGATGCGTGACATCGCATCGGGAATAGTGCGCAGTCTGTTACCCCCGAGCCGTTGCCCGAATGCACGAAACCCGAAGCATGCCAGACCCGAAACCCCGTCACACCCTTCAACGCGCCCGAAGCCGTGTCTTCAGTAATCGCATATAATGTACTATTCTCGTATATATATGACGACCGAGTCTATCGTTATGGCAATATACCACTCTTCATCATTGTTCGAAAGACCCCCAAGCCTCGCTTTAATAAGACAAGGTGCTCCACGATCTGAGCAACCCCAGGATCTGAACCAAATCTCATTTCGAAATCAAAGACGATGAACATCTTGATCGTTGGCTCAGGCATCGCCGGCCCAGCCCTAGCCTACTGGCTCTCCATCAACCCCAAACACAACATCACCATCCTAGAAAAGTCCGCCTCCCTCCAACCCCACGGGCAAAATGTCGATATCCAAGGCAGCGCCGTGACCTGCATCAAAAAGATGGGTCTGATGCCGCAAGTCCAGCAATATAACACGAAAGAGCTCGGCACTCGATTTATCGACTCTCATGGAAACCCTTTCGCACCCTTCCCCATCAAAGAAGGCGGTTCAGCAAGTCCAACCTCAGAATACGAGATTCTGCGCGGAGACCTTGCCAAATTACTTCACCAAGTGACCGAATCTCAACCCAATGTAACCTACCTGTTCAGTACGACAATCACGCAAATCCTTCAAAACGACTCTTCATGCGTCAAAGTCCTCCTTAGCGATGGCACAACACGCACCTACGACCTGCTCATCGCAGCAGACGGCCAATGGTCTAAAACACGCAGCCTGGTCTTTCCACCTCAATATGTAGCCATCGAACACAAAGGCATGTACGCCGCATACTTCACCATACCACGACTCCCTTCCGATGCACCATGGTGGGACATATTCGTCGCAAAAGGTTCACGTACCGTCGCCACGCGTCCGGACCCTCACGGTACAACCCGTGCGATGTTCACTTTCATGCCGTCAACTCCTGCTCAGAAACTCGCCTGGGAGAAGGCGAGTAGAGCTGGGAGAAAAGCCCAGGAAGAACTTGTTCGCGAGGAATTCGCGGACGCCGGGTGGGTTAGCAAGAGACTCCTTGATGCTATGGCTGGAGCGCCAGACTTCTACTCTCACGCTATCAATCAGGTCAAGATGACACGATGGAGTCATGATCGTGTGATTTGTCTGGGTGATGCGGCGTTTTGTCCTAGTCCGTGTACGGGTATGGGAACGTCGCTTGCAGTGCTGGGGGCGTATGTTTTGGCGGGTGAGCTGAGCCGTGTGGAGGAGCCTTCTTCTTCTTCTGCGACCTTCGGTGAACTTACTGCTGCGCTTACCAGCTACGAGGACAATTTTCGACCTTTCGTGGTGCAGAGTCAGGTAATGTCGCGCTTTGTACCGGGGTTCATGCATCCAGGCCCGGCTTGGAAAAGGACAGTCTTGCACGGTTTCGTCAAACTGGTGTCCATGGTCCTTCGGTGGGAGTGGGTCGGTCCGTGGCTTGCAGATACGGAGAGTAGGGATGATGGCTTCAAGTTGCCAGAGTATGCGGCTTTCGAAAGCTTGGACGAGAAAGCGCTGTGATTGTCATGCCATCAGGCTTCTAATGTATAGATATGGGTATCTCAGTCATTACAACCTTTAACGTAAAACTATATAATCGAATGGAAAGGAAAAATGCGGGTGATGAACCAGTACGGGAAGACGACATCGACCAACAACGCCACGCTATGTGTAATATGATGCAAAACCGCCATGTTTCTACACACCAACCACCCTAGGCGGCTCATCACCCAGTGGCAAACCGCCAGTCTTTTGCCTGACAGCAGCCCAGTCGGTGGGATCACTATCGACCCTCGTCTCATCGGAGCCGTCTGCGGAAGGACGATCCGCAACATCCAGTCCACCCTTCGTATCTGCAGGTTCCAGGATGTTAGCCTCGGTGATTGGGCTAGCAAGCTCAGGATCTGACTTGTTCTTTGCATCATCACCTGGATGTGCTGAGCCAAGCGAGTGCGTATCGTGCTGCTTCAACACGGCATCGCCAGTTGCCTCATGTCTGGGAGGAAGCTGCAGCTCTTCTCTTTCGAGGTGTTCGCCATGCTCCAAAGTGGTGGTTGGAGCAGTGCTCATCCGGTGCATCCGTCCACCCCTTGCGTTACCGTCCACGCTTCTTCGCGCTTTTCCAGGATCCATCACCTTACTTTGATCTTCTGGAAGGGCTCTGCCGGGCTTGTCGTTGGGCGCATGGGTATTTGGCCTTCCTTTGGACTGCGATCTCCTGATATCCTTCTTGGCGACCTCAGTGGACTTGCGTCCGACGCGCTGGCCTTCTTTGTGGTCCCCTCGACCAGTGAGAGAGCCAACGAATCCGTTCTTGTGTTGTTTCTTCTCGTCTGTGATCGTTTTTTGCAGAGCCTTCCACCGAATGATCACATTCTCTTCCACGGATTCCTTCTTCTCGGAGGGTCGCTTGGCTCCATTTTGAGCTTCCTTAATAGCCGTAATGTGAGCTTTCGCCTCCAACATCGTCAGCTCTTTTTGCCCCTCAGCAATACGTGCACGGCGAAGATAGTTCGTAGGCTGGTACCGCTTCATGTATTCCGCATCAAGCCCCTTCATCGTATATGCCAGAGGGCCAAGAAGAGCTGCAATATCCTTAAGCACGAAGCCGCCAATACCGAAACCTACGCCTCGGACTGCACCTATAACACCGTTCTGTTTCGCGCCATTATAGGGCTGGGTGACAAGGCCCGAAACGCCATCTCTTACGCCGTAGAGAAACTCATCGCGACCGGCGCGCGTGCCTGAGTGGAAACCAGTGACTCGGGGTGGTCTGCGTACAGTTTCATCTCCGTAGAGACGTGGAGCGTTATGAAAGCCTTGAGTAATGGCAAGCGTCAAGTCCATAGGGAATCGAGCGATGGCGTGGCCTGTCTTCCTGAAGCCAAAGGCAGCTTCACGGCCGAGCTCCTCAGCCAGCTCTTCGTCCGGTTCCGTGATCTTCGAAATAGATGATTCGTTGCGATTTGCTTGTGGTCTGGATCCGTCTTGTTCAGTCTTGTTGTGCGTCGTGCTTCCAGCTCCATTTGCCGCGTCAGCGTTTGTTTTCGCTATTGTGGCCTTCTTGTGCTCGTGGCGTTGATGTAACTTGCGCTTCTTCTCCTTGATTTGCTCCCGTTTTCTGATGCTCTTCCCCATCTCGACAGGCATGCCACCTACACCAGCAGCCGCATCGGAGAATGAAGACATCAGACTACCCCAGACTCCGGTGATTGGCTCGCCCGGACCACCAAAATCGTTCCACTCGTAGTGTCGTATGAGTCGTAATTCACTCCATTTGAGCTTCTTTTTCTCTACCAGAATTTCGGCAGCGAGTGCAGAGAGCTTGACCTCGGTATTCTTGATCTTCCATACTGCCGCACGGTTATCGAGGAAATCGCACCGCATGCTGCCTGCACCAGTAAGGGGTAATGACCTGTGGAAGGAGCGCACGGCATTGAGCGCGCCGTCGCCTTCCTTCGCAATGCTGTCTGCGATCTTCTTTACGTTCTCTTTGGCTTCCTCAGTCAGACATTGCTTGATGCCCTCCGCTAGCCTTTCGGCACTGAGTTTCTTGTAGGGTATACAATCATGCGCTCCAGCCTTTGCCTTGCTGACCATCGCACCCCAGAACGGTTGATCGCCAAAGAAAGGTACAATCATTGTCGGTATGGCGCATTTGAGACCAATAGCGGTTGTGCCAGCGCCTCCATGATGGATAACCGCACTACATTTGGGAAATAACCAATCGTGGGGTGTATTCTCAAGCATGAAGACATTTTCCGGACAATCCGCGTTCGAGCCAAAGCCACCCCAGCCTTTCGAAACAAGGGCACGGCAGCCAACGGACTTGACCGCTTCGAAGATGAGGCTAGTGAATTGGTCGGGGTCATCTACGACAATGGAACCAAACCCGATGTAGATTGGGGGAGGCCCATCATCCAGGAACTTTTTCAACTCATCCGGTGGGGTAAATGAGGAAGCAAGATCTAGAAAGACGAAACCGGAAATGTCGATCTCTGGGCCCCAATCCTTTGGCTTTGGAATGAGACCGGGTGACCACATGTAGGTATAAGGTACCTTGAGCCGGTAGAGTTGGCCTGGTGCCCATATTCTGCTCACTTCCTCGAGATGCAAGACCTGGGTACGAAAGCGATTTATGAGGTCGCCGAGACCCTGCCACATCATCATCTCGACGAGCGGATATGACATGAAATTGCTGTAGGTGGCTTCGACGTTACTGGCCTTGATGTTGGCAAGTGGATGAGGAAACTGGCTCGTAGGCGTGTAAGGGAAGCTGTGGCGTGTCAGTACTGACTCTCAAGTCTACATGCTAAGTACCTACGTGAACATCATGTGTAGCGGGATGCCGAGCTTCTCAGCAATATGGGTGGGTGCGAAACTTGGCGGATTTGAGATGATGGCATCTGCAACAAAAGGTGCCTTATCACCCACTACTAGAAATTAGTCATGTGTAGCACGACTGTATCAGAAAAAAAAACTTACTCATTTTCACGTTCGTCTTGTCGGTCTCGTCGTCGGTCGCGTTGATGCAAGCACGCCACATGCCCTGGAACATTTCGTACATCTGACTCCTTCGCCTGCCTATCTCACCCTCCTTGATAGTATCTATGTTCGGAATAAGACCAGGATTCTTGACCATGAACGCCATCAGCTCCGCCGGGTTGCCACCAACTGAGAAAAACTCCAAGCCTGAGTCCTTTTCCACAAAATCCTTGAACGCCGGGTGTGTGGCCATACGAACGCGATGTCCGTAGTCTTCTTTCAGAATCTTCCCTATCCGAATGAAGGGCTGGATGTCTCCGCGCGACCCAATGATGATGATGACAATATTGAGCCTGATTCTTCGCGAAGGATCATGTTCCATCTCGTCATCTTCGGGGCTAATCTTGGTGGCTCCAACATCGTCGTAGCTTGTAGGGCCTTGGTTTTCGTCGTTTCCATTCTTCTTGAAAGCTGTGCCCAAAGCCTTTGCGATGTATCCACTGCCAAGGTTCTCTTCCAGTATACTAAGCTTCAGACGTCCATCCGCCTTGGATACCCTGCCCTTTGTGTTGAAATGCTCATTGGCGATCTTGAGACGAGAAAAGGGCCCCGATCGGCGCCCATGAGGCTGGCGTGTCGCTTGCTTGGTGAGGTCATCGGCATGGCCGAGGCTCTTGCGGGGGAGTTGTCTCTCATCGTCTGAGGAGTCTGAGGATTCGGATTCGGGGTCGAAGGTGATTGTCGCTGCTCTCTCGGGTGCGGCTGGTCTTGCTTCGCGGGGTTTGTGCATCCTTCCTAGCAAAGAATGTCGCACAGAGGGCTTCGGCCGTTCCGTTGCCCATCTCTGCTGTGTGGGACGCGTCGCCGACGCGAAGTCATCCTGGTCATTGGGGGTCGACTCCGAAGTGTCTCGCGGGGCTTCGATGGGCTGGTTTGGCGTAGATGCGCCTGCTTGTTGAGCCATGTCTGCGGTCGAAATGTTTTGGGCAGGCGTGGGAGTGGCGGGCTCTTGGCTAGGGATATTCGGAAAGGTCGGCTCTTCGATGACCATACCGATGGGCGAGACGAGACCCTCGCGCTTGGGACTAGGCGTAGAGTTCGCCATAGTGAGCTGTGCGAAGAGGTCTGGCGTCTTGGTGGGTCGGAAGATCTGGGTCAGTGACGGATCCGCGTTGCCGGTAGTGACGGCGCGATGATGGTGACAGCGCAGAAAGAGCGAGGTCTAAGCCTGAAGGGACACGCGACACCCGGCTTCACCTGCATGCGCCAACAAAGCTTTGCGAATAGTCGCCTGGATTCGGACTACGGACGCGCAAAAAGGTGAAAGGCACACGTGCGAATGGCGTGGGATTGTTGTAGCGGCCGATCAAGGCCACTCAGTGGACAGCGGCACCATCAGGAACAGGCGGAATGACATCATGTCCAAACATTTGAAATGTGGATCTGACGGAAAGCACCAACGCGGGAGTTAACTTGGTCGGGTTAATTCGATGGTCTTGAAATTGTGCCTGGGCGTTCTTGGGCGACTCTTTTTTTGCCGAGGTTGCGCGACAGGGATTACAATCCCATGTCTTGAAACATGGCAATCTCCCTGGCCAATGTGCGTGCTTCTGGTACATCACTGGACACCATATGCCAACAAGAAACGTAGCATGTGTAGACGTGGCGCCAATACTGCGGTGGTATGGGTGATTCGGCATGCTTTCAAGTGCGATGCATGGACCCAATACAGCACAACGATCGTGACCCTATGATGCAGCCCTAAGCGTGTAGCGTCCCGACCTATCCGGACTGCTCTGCATACTCTCCGAATGCGCTATGGTCGGCCTCTAGCAGCAGCCGGCTGTCGATCCGCAGATGCTTTTGGAAGAGTTCGAGCAGATCCAACTAGGTCGTTGCCGCTTCTAGTGCATGATGGTGACCACGGCGTTGTAGGGTCAGATGACGTTTGTAAGAACCGCAGCAGTAGGCCAGCGCATCAAAGTGCATTTCCCGCAGAAGAATGTGGTCATGGCAGCACGGGTAAGAAAAAGTCGATTATTCCAATGTACAAGCTTTATTGGAAGACCCTGAGCTTCTAGCTCCATCGCAGTTCGCGCCGTGGCCGGGGAAGAGCCGCAAGCTTCATCATGATGTGCATCATCGCCCGAACCCCAGACCATACAAGGATGCTTTGACAACGTCCTGCGCCCACCCAGCCCAGCCCCGTCCAGCCTGGACCATGTTCAAGATCTTGATGAAGGTGCGGTTCCACTGATCTTGGTCCTCCCAATCATCGGCATAGGGCTCAAAAATCGCCGTTTCAATACTGCCAGGCGCGCCGGGCGTAACCAGATCCCACTCGCCATTATCCTTTTGACGGACATGCATCTTGGGCCCTATGACCAGCGCGCGACCAAGTATGCGGGAATCAGCCACGAAGCGCGTACCTGCGTCGACGACATCTTCCACTTTGCCTACGCCGCCTCCTGCGAGTATGAAGCGCGCACTAGCCGGCACGATGGGTGTATCGATGAAATATGGACAAAGAAGGTTCACGCGGATGCCCTGAAGGCCGCTCGTCACCCTCAGACTTCTGAACAGACCAAGCACCGCGTGCTTTGCGGCACAGTATTGGGGTTGTATGGCAATGGGGCCGAGAGAGGCGATGGAGCCAAGCAGAAGGATATGGCGATCGCGTGGGGAGGTCGTGGAGGGCTTCGAGTTCAAGCTACAGTCTGAAGAGCCGGGGTTCTTGGGCAGCCAGAAGCAGGCTAGGTGAGTAGTGTATAGCACACCAGTGAGGTTCACGTCCATGATCTTGAAGACGGGTGGGGGTGGTGCAGCCGCATCGAGGTTCGCAGGTTCTTGGAGGACGTCGCGGCCTGCTATGCCTGCATTTGCGACTACCGTATCGATACCCCCGTGCGGGCTCAGCTCGACTGCCTTCTTGAAGAGGTCGACCTGCGACTGCCAGTCTGTCACGTCGCAGTGCACGAAGTGGGCCTTGCCGCCGTTCTTGCTGTCTTTGTTGATATCACGACAGAGCGCGTCTCCCTTCTGAACACTGATGTCCCCCACGACGACTGTGGCACCGCCAGCTACCCATTTCCGCACGAAGCCCGCGCCAAAGCCGCTCGCTCCTCCCGTGATGAGTACGACCTTGCCCTTGACCCAGGCTGCGTCGTAGGGGACGGTGATGTCGATGGGCGGCGACTGGAGGACATTCGGTTTCTGTGGTTTGTAGTCGTCCATTGCAGTGGTTCTCGCGGTGCAAAGATGTTTAAAACGAGTACTATGGGCACTATGAGGGTGAGGCTGGGGTATGGCTCTTATATCGTGAGCTACCCGCATGTACGCCCGTCGAGGTGCAGCAGCTCTCTCCTGGCGCACTAAGGACAGCAGCCTCGGCTCGCGAGCGTAGGGTCGCCCATCCATCTGGTCGAGTGGGAGCCCGCGGCCATGATAGGCTGCCCCAGTGTTGAGCTTGTTGCATTATCCGTAGTCTGCAACTAAGGGGACGAATACGCCCGAGAAGTGCACACGCGAATGCGAAGGACGATCAGACGTCAGACACCTTCGCCGTAAGAGGTCATGGGCGTCCACACACGAGCTGGTGGGGTTGCCAGGCTAGCGCTGTTGTGCCTGAACCCCTGCCGAAATTTCCAGTCGCAAGCATCCCCGCCTTGCAAACAGACGATACATTCGCTGCTCCTCATCCACGTCCTCTCCTCTGGACCACCTTGGTACTAAAGGTCCGAAAGTATCGCGACCAAGCTATTCCCAATTTATCGCATCATGGCGGCCAAACCCCCCGCCCTCGACGTCTCAGCCACGCACATTGTCGCAACCCTCTTCTACAAGGCCGACACGCCCAACTTCTTCCAGCATGCAGATCTGTCGCCCCGAAGTCCCGGCGACCCAATTCCGTCCGCATCCCTTGAGTCGCTGAAGGACGGCGCCGTGCCCACCGAGAACCTCGCAGACTACCCCCTTGAACCGCCGACACCGGGGCCCAACGCCCGCGACAACCTATACGGAAGCTATGTCAGCCAAAGCTGCCTCACCGAGTTCTTCGTCACCCTCACCAGCATCATAGCTGGCTTGGAGAAAAACACAATAACGAGCAAAAGGCTCGAGGCAAGCAAGCTCTGCAGGGTAGTTGAAGTCACTTTCCCTTTGCCAAGCGCCTCGCCCGTCGCGCTTGAGACGTTGCGCAGGCATGAAGCCGTGTCGCGCTTCGAGCGCGAGTGGAATGTCGAATGCGTCTTCCAGGCAGACACCATACATCGGCGCTACAAGAGGCTCGCTGTCTTTGACATGGACAGCACCCTCATACAGCAAGAAGTCATTGACGAGATCGCTTCGCTGATAGGCGTGGAGAAGGAGGTATCTGCCATCACCGCTGCTGCCATGAACGGTGAGCTTGACTTCGAGGCCAGTCTACGCGCACGATGCAAACTGCTCAAGGGCGTGCCAAGCAGTGTATTTGAGACACTGAAGCCAAGGATAACATTGAACGAGGGCGTCAAGGATCTCATCACCGCCCTGAAGCGATTGGGCTTCAAGACAGCCGTACTTAGCGGAGGCTTCACTCCTCTAACAGGATGGATGGGGCAGCAACTTGGTCTTGATTACGCCTTTGCTAACCACCTGGTCGTGTCCGAAGATGGAGCCACACTCACAGGCGAACTGACTGGTGAGATCGTACACGCCCAGAAAAAACGCCAACACGTATTAGAGATTGCCGAGAAGGAAAACATACTCCTCGATCAGGTAATATGCGTTGGCGACGGCGCCAACGATCTTCCTATGATGGGTGTAGCCGGCCTGGGCGTCGCCTTCCACGCGAAGCCAAAGGTGCAGATGCAAGCTCCTGCTCGTCTCAACTCAAAGAGCATGCTGGATGTACTGTATCTCTTCGGTATTTCAAAGGAAGAGCAGGAAACACTATTGCAATAGCACAATCATTCGCCGTACAAAAGGTAACCATCCAACACTGTCCCGCTCGCATCATGCACAATACACCTGTTATTACGTGAATCAAGTGGCTATCTCGATTTCTCGGTTGCGTCGCTGCGACAAGGCGCGTGTGGTCGTCTGATACATGTCCTGGACTCAGGCACACAGCGTGGCGCAGCTTGCCCCTCCGTGTCTGCCTACGACCCCAGCCACGACGCCACAATATGCGATGCGATCATAGCCTGGCGGCATCATCATAAAGAAAGAAGGTATACATCTCAGCTCGTCCCAATCATACTCTGAAATAATTGCGCATCGTCTCTGCACATTATTACAAATCACCGCTTATTGTACCCATCTTTCCACGTTCCGACTTGCTTGTCATCACTAAACAATGATGGATCTACCGAGTCTACCGACAGACATATATCGCCTTCTTCTTGACCAAGTGCGTTTTACCAGAGCAGAATAAGTTGACTTACATTTAACGTTTGTCTAGCTCTCACGATCAGACCAAATCTCGCTGAGCCTTGTTTCCCACGCATGCCGCATGCAATGCGAGCCAATTGTCTTTCGCACTATCACCGTGGGTGCTTGCAAAGAGCGAGGTCCAAGTATGACTGCACGCATCACTAATGGCCTAACCTGGCCTTTTCGCACCATTGCCTCTGGTGTACACCGGAACAACGGTCACAGCAACCCCGCAAGCATCGTGAACAGTCTAAAACGGAACAATGGTAGATTGGCAAAAGCAGTACGGCACTTGGTCATCCCATCTTATCCCGACCATAGCTACATCTCCACCACGACGATTCTAAACATCATGGAAAGCACACAAAATCTGGCATCATTTAGCTGGAACGCCAACTACCCTATCCCCTTGCGTGTTCTCGAGGCGCTGCACCGCGATCATCCTTCAGCTCAGTTAAAAGTCACGAACCACAACCGCAAGGATCTTGCTCTAGATGAAGCTCTCCTGTCATCACCTCAGCTTCACACACTCGACATTACAGTCCGACGCATCCATCGGGGAACAACACGTCTGCAGGACGGGAACGACGATCTCTCCAATCTCAAGACCTTGCTCATGCGGGGTGGCAACCTCAGGGTTCTACGATTGCGTCTCAGCAAACTGGAACATTTTTCTATCGCTAAGAGAAGTCAGTACAACACTTCCACAGTTGTGGCCGTTGGCCCATCTCACTTCCGATTCCAGCAGACGGATACGTTCCCCATGCTCGAAGAGTTGGTCATCTCCAGAGCCGATAACCTTGCGCCTGTCTACGAGTTTAGCCCCAAGCACTGCAGCGATTGGGCCTACGCAATGGATTGGAGTGAGATGCGCATCTTGGATGTGGCCTCCACCAACTCCGAACACCTGCTTCGAGAAATCGCTGGTTTAATGCCAAAGCTACACACGCTGAGATTGAACCCGTCCTCTATCGATCGCGATACACTCGAAAGCTTCCTGCACACCGTGCCACTGTTGACAGATCTCAAACTGGTCTCTGGAAGTACTTCGAAGGTGTATATTGGTAGCTTTGACAAAGCAGTCACGAGGGTTTGCGAAACCATTGGACCTCAACTCCGCTCTCTTCAGATCGAATGCAAATTCCGTTTGACTATGCCATGGCAGTCTGCTCGCTTCCAGGAGGTACTGGGGCTATGTCCGCAGCTTAGATACTTCGAAAGTATCATCGATGGGCTGGGTTCGACCGGCGAATGGGAAGGAGATGTCGTCAGCAAGCCGGCTTCGTACAAGTATGCGTTGATGTCATCCACTAGCACTAGGGAATCAGGTATGCAATCTTTCTCTTCTCTCGGACGACGGGAAACGATACATTGCTAACGTATCTGTGTAGTTGATCCCTATGCGTCATGCTGTGGCACGGGAATAAATGTACCGCCTGAATGCGTCCCCCGGTACACAGCTCTCCCGCGAATATAGCGGACGTCTAGTCCACGTGTATCTTTTCTCTCCTACATAATCACCGCGCTATGAGTCTTCGTACTCTTTTCCAAATACCTTAGCCAGACCTTGTTCCAACTAATGCTCACACATGCATGGCGGTGGCGATGTTTGATACTCTGTTACCTGAGCCGGCCGAGTGCGAGACTGCCCCAATGTTCCTATAACCCATGCAGTACACATGTACGACAACCTTCTTAGCTTGCATGCGACGCTCACAATGCTGCAAGGCATCAAGCACCGCGGCTTTGAAGTCGCTTATGCACCGGAACGTAGGCGGAAATTGTGTTCCAGGTGATATTGTATACCTCACAAGGTCCGTGGGGTCGGTGCGAATCCTGACATTTAGATACAATGTGTGGAGATTGGAGAAATGCGTTTGCGAATTGGACCAGCGTCGGATCTGTTGTAGAACAACACCCGCACAGTCAACCCTAATAGTCTTAACAAGGAGCCCCCAGGCTGTCCCGCTTTCGAGGCTTCGAGCACGAGGTCTCCACGTATAGAGATTGAAGTTGATTTCGAACCTACGGATCCAAATGCACGCGTTGGAAGGCGGGAATCTTGGAAAAGAAGTCGAGAAGAAAAGAACGGCGATGGCGAACTTGTTGCTTTTGTATTCTGTCTCTGTCAGCTGTTTATTTAGATGTGCAGGGCCTAGTTGGTCAGGCTCACACTTCACTTACAGGTTTCACAGGCGTATGCCGCCAGCTCTGCGTTACCACAGCGCAAGACAGGTATCAGCAGGGCAACCGTTTGGTGACTGGCATCATCGTCGATAGGCCCTGGAAACGTAAGGGCGTAACCGAGGACCTTTAATTGAAGTTCGGTAGGTAAGTGTGACCATAAATGGAAAGACGTCGTCTCTTTGGGAACAGCATTGTTCGCCATACGCGCCATGGTGTTGAGTGGTTTCAAAACGAGAAAGGTCATTGTGAACCTGAGTGAGTGGATCATTGTTTCTTAATTTTCAGAGCATTTGCCATTCATAAACGCCCTGAAATGGTCTGAAAGCGAGCCATGTAGCAATAAGAATCGTGTGGCGCGCGTGCAAATCCCACGTAACAAGTGATGTGAGGTTTCTTTCACCTCCACCTACAATGCGTTTCACTACCACCAGCTTGGCCCACGACTGAGTGAAAAGACCCTCTATATAGCCTTATAAGCCCTGACATCCATTACCCTATATATATATTTTTTTCGCAACCCGCCAGGTTTACATCACCGATTCTATTTCGCAATGAGAATGACCAATCAGATCGTTCGAATCATAAATTCCGTGAACTCACTAGTACAGGCCGACTCGAAAAACATGGCAAAGGTACTACATGTCCTTCCTATTGTCCTTCACCTTACGCCTGACGAGATCTCCTTCGAGATCTCTGCCACAGGATGCCCGATGGCCAGACCAGAGAATGAGTATCATGATGAAAGCAGCTGCACTTGCAAAGAGGATCTGGAAATGATGATCAAAGGTCGGATGATAAAGAAGTGAGGTGGCAATTTGTGTGGAAACTTGCCGACATCAGAATGCAGCTTCCACTACCGTTCTCCCTTAGTTTTCGAATACTCTTATACTATTAGCTGTTACTGATAACCTTGGAATGACTGCTGTGATGACGATGCCAACACGTGACTAATATTGGTGATGGCTGCATGTGTGCTGAGCCGGCTTATCCCAACCGAGTTGCCGGAGTCGCAGACGAGATTTAGCGAGGATGCTTTTGGAGGTGCTCGCTAGTTCTTGTCGTCAGGTCTTGTCGTCAGGTCTATGATGACGCAGTTTACCCCAGTGATCAGCGCGGAGCAAGACCAGGCCCCAGTCTGAGTCAAGCCGCATTCTCTTCTTGGTTGAGGTTGTTTACTCCTTCAATTCCTCCTTCACGAACTTACTTTTCCCCGCGACCTTGACGGCCAACAACCAGATACTGATATCACTCATGATATCCACAGTCCCAACGTCCGCTCCGATAGCCTTCGAAAACCAGTTTCGCATCTCCACCGCGACCAACGAGTCCACGCCGTACCGATAGATCGCCTTCTGAGGATCGATGTCGTCCTTGCTAACTACTAAGAGACTGGAAAGCTGGTTCTGGATCGCTTCGACAACTATATCGGTGGCTTGAGCAAGGTTCGTGGCTTCTGAGAGCTTGTACGAAGGACGATTCTTGGCTTCGGCGGACGCGGTGTCGGAAGAGAAGCGCGAGGGGAGCGTGTCGAGGTAGTGGTACATCGGCCGCGTACTACCAAGAGGTGCCACGATACCCATAGCGCGAAGATCAGCCGGCAGGGTCAAGGGTGTGATGATCTGGGACCCGACGGTGCTTGCATCGACGCGTTCGGGGTCACAGCAGAAGCGTAGCAGCTTGTAGATGTCATTCATGGGCACCTCTTCTAGCATACCCCGCACGCGGAGCAGAGCTTGTATCTGCTCGTTCTGAGCCACGAAGCCAACACCCGTAACCATGCTCAGGGCGAGGGTATGAGCGCGTTGGCCGTGACGCATACGATGTGCCGCTAATGCGTCCTGGTATGTGTTGCCAACGGTGTAATTTGATTGACCGAACGAGCCCATGATACCGGTGGAGGATGACAACATGACGAAGAAGTCGAGATTGGCCGGTAGAAGCCGGTGCAGGTTCCAGGAGCCGTCTACCTTGGGTGCGAGCGACTCGTGCCACTTCTCGCTCGACATCTTTGCGAAAGAAGAGTCGCGCATCACCATTGCTGCTTGGACACACCCTTTGATTGGCGGAAGGCCTTGGAAGGACGCAAGGGTCTCCTTAAGCTGGTTATAGTCGGCGACGTCGCATACTGGAGCATACACTGCGGCGCCTTGTGCTATCAGTCCTTGGAGGAAGTAATCGCGATCAGATCCAGTACCCTCAACTGGTGATCGTGACGGCAAAATTAGATGCTTGGCTCCATTGTGTACCATCCACGTCGCAATGCTCTGACCTATACCGCCGAATGCCCCAGCGACAAGATAGCTGGCATTCGAGGGGAACAGTGGCTTGTCAGAATCTGGCGAAAGTTCCACCTCCACAATATCGTCGCCGTCCATCTCAATGACTACTTTTCCGAGCGTCTCTCCATCTTTGAGCGACTGGAAAGCCCGCTGAACCTTACTCTGCTTGAAAACGGTCGGAGGTAGAGACATGGTGATCTTACCACCTCCCATCAGTGATAGCACATCTCTGAAGATGCCAGCAAATAGATGGCTTTGTGCTAGGTCCTGGAAGTTGACGCTGACGAAGGTAATGTTCTTCGTTGTAGGAGGTACCACAATCTCGTTTGAGCCATTCGCGGTCGAATTGAAGACGTCCTTTTCTCCAACGCCAATAAAGCGTCCGAAAGAAGCAATACATGGCCAAGAAGCTTGCAAGAGTTCTTCAGAGCCCATCACAACATCGGCACCTCGGCCTCCCGTCAAACGGAGGATACCGTGCTGGAAGTCGAGGCTGCCAGTGCGGAACATATTCGACGTCGGAACGTTGAAATTCTTCTCCAGAAAAGCCGCTTCTTCAGATGTGCCTACAGTCGCAAAGATTTCCGTATATCCGTGGAGAACGGCGATTTGGATGATCGCTTGGCCGAGTGTACTAGCAGCCTCGTGGACCAAGATGGACTCGCCACCCTGTATACCGACACACTGCTTCAAGCCGTAGTAGGCTGTACAGAACGCCACTGGATAGATAGCGGCATCGCAGAAGCTCATACCGTGCGGTATCTTATGCAGTTGTGAGAATTTACAGCGGGCAATTTGCGCAACGCCATCTCGTGTTACGCCGAAAACGTGATCACCAATCTGGAAGCCTCCATCTTGTGATGAGCCAGTGCGTACCACGACTCCAGCGATCTCGCTTCCGAAGGTCTCATCGTGAACCTGGCCAAGTGCAACCGCTACGTCCCGCATATTGAGACCAACTGCCTTGATTTCAACAACGACACCATCTGGCTCAAGCTCTCCAATGTTGTCGGAAGCCTGCTCATAATGCAGTGTACTCAGGATGCCTGCCGCGCCGACGGTCAACTTTGGGCTGTCAAGCTCGCTCCAAGGTTTGGTGATAGTAACTAAAGTATCCTCGGTAGGCAGTGCTTGAGCAGTGAGTTCCGGGTCGTCGACCACACGTGGAATGCAGAGCTGGCCGTCAATCTCGCAGTATTCGTCCTCCGGGTCAGGTTGCGGATCTAAGAGTGTCTTGGTAATCGTCGTAATATGGGTAGCGACTGTGTCAAGTCCATTTTCCGAGTTGAGGCTGATACTTACGAGCCGATAGTCTTCAGATTCCGTCGCTAGCGTACGTACTAGTCCTGAAACCAGGCCTTCGGTAGGGCTCTGGTCAAGAGCTCGATGCTGGAACGTGATCCACAGCAGGGCATCGACTTTCGATACTAAGGTCTTGATCTTCTCGAGTTCGTCTTCTTGCATGTATCGAAGTAAATTCCCGTCTAAACCAGGGAGAAATACGCAGGTAGCATTGCCAAGCTCATGTTCTGATACAGAACTCCATGCTACTAAGGCGACACCAATCTCGTCTTGCGCTGCCATCGTTCGGCGAAGATTCTGCATCAAGCTTACCTGTGATGAGTACAATTCATCGTAGATAATGTGAATGCAGAATTTGGAAGAGAGTGATGAGGTAGGCAAAGTTGTCGGGTGATCGAAGCTAGCTGGCTTCCAGTCGATGCGGTATAGGCTGCGCGGCACGTCCTTCTTCTCTGTGGATGTGTCGCTGCGACCAATAGTCGTAGTCTCTAGATCGCCGTAGAAGCAGAGGTCTTGCGTATCGGCAAATGCTGCAGTGACAGAGAAGAGCTTGTTGCGAAATCCACGTCCAGAAACCTTCGCATGTACCCTAACATCTTGCGCATCAGAAGAATTGCGCAGCAGGTTTGCAGAGAACCATGCGTTGCTGAAACCAGTCGGTACAGTGGTGGCTGAAGAGTCCTTGGCGTAGATAGAATACGCCGGAAACGTCATCTGAAGTATGGTGTCCAGTGCAGCGGGATGAACGAGATGCGGATCACTGTAGTCGAATTTTGCGTGTGTCTGCCAGTCTCGAAGACCAACT